GGAAAATTGCTCGATATTACAAGTGCTATTGATTGATGTGCCCCGGTAGCGAATTCTGGTAGTCGGGCTGTCAACGCGCTGCAGTCAAGAGAGAGAGGACGCGATGAAAATCAGCCTGTTCTTGTCGCACTGTTCCGATGCACCAGGGCCGGTCGTTAAGTAGTCGGGTCGATTCAGGAACAACTTCCCGGAGGGTTTCTTTCGAAATCAACCAACTTGATAGTTTTGGCAACTGTCACTTACCCTGAGCGCACCTGATGGTCAATTTCAGGCCAACTGAGGCGCCTGCAACAGAAATTCGACAGACGTTCCTGCGCAGTTTTGGGCGAGCGCACTCGAAAGGAGCCGGGCCTGCGCACTGGCGGTGTGGGTACCAGAGCCTCGAGGGTGCTGCGCCGTCGCTGCACCAAAGCGATGGCTCCGGGCGCAGGTACCACCTTGGGAAATCCGGGTGTGTTGCTGTCGCCTGAATTACTGCGCGAGTTGGGCGACACTCCCGTTGAACTTTCGGAGGTGTCGGTGCGACTCAGTGAGAACCTGAAATTGTGGCTCCCATTGGATAATGTGCACAAATGCTTAATCTGAGAGTGCATCGGTGATGATTTGCATTTGCCTTCGCTCCAAGGGCTGGGGAAGATTTCCGTTGGCGGGCAACAGAAACTCACCGTTTGGGGCTCAGCGACAATCCCGCCACGCTATTGGTGACATACTCAGACAATGAGTTGAAAAAGCTCATTTTTCAGCGGCGAAGGTCTGAAACAAAAGAGAATTCGCCTTTAATTTGAAATTAACCAGCGCCTGAACAATGCAGAGCAGCAGAAAACATTCATATAATGTTTCTATGCCCCGTTTGCCCAGCCCAGCTAATTGGACTTTCATTCGCGCAAATTATCTGCTGCTGGCTATGGAAATTGGCTGGCATCTTGATTAGCTTGAGAGATCATTTAATCGATCAACTGCGTGATTTTTCGCTTGGATTCAAAGTGGAGGCGAAGCAAGGGAAAAACTCCGAGCTGAAGTTATTCACACCCGTGCAGCTTCATTTGCATCCGAACCCGGCTTGAATGGATTTCCGCATTTAATTAGTGAAAACAGCCGGTGGAGGAGCTGGAGATTGGTTTTCATTAAACGGCAGATTTTTTCATCTGTGTTGAGTGGATTCCAGGTGTAAACCAAAGAGATTAATAGATAGACAAATTCATAACCGCGCCTCAGGCAGCCTCGGGCTCGGCAGGACGCACTCTTAGAATTATCCCAAATTTTGAATAGTTGGAGACTCAACGGTCTACAATGCCTTGTGAAACTTTCAAGTTTCCGCTTGCTGAAGATTTTCGACTTTTTTAAGCAGAGCTCACAATTATGAGAAACTTTCTTGTTTAGCCCAGATTTTGATGAAATTTTTTAAGCTTTGAGACGAAATAGTGCGGAATGCTCAGTGAAACTCCCACGTTTCTGCGTTCTTCAGATTGGCCCCAACGATTTTTTTAAACAGAGCGCCTTTCCGTTTTTGACTATCAGTTACGCCGCAGTAAAAGTCAGGGTTCAGTGCCAATTTCATGAACATTTCGGGACTTTTCAGCCCAAGTATCTCTTATATTGGGTGAAACTTTCAAGTTTCTACTTGAGCCG